TTATATATTATATATTTTTATAATATAATTTATAATTAACTAAATCTCCAAAACTATTTCAAAATGAATATGAAATAAATTTTTGATTAATTTTATAAAAAAAAAATAAAAAAAGAAAAAAAAACAAAAAAAAAGAAAAACGAAAAAAACAAGGAAAAGATTTATTTAATTATAAATTATACATAACATTTTCGTATAAGGTCGTGAAAATGGATATGAAAAAATTTTTTTCGGATCTGGTAACTAAGAATTAAGAAGACAAGTTTGCTCCTTTCAAATGTAGGAAAGTAGTATAACGGAGAATTGCGGAATTTATTTTCGAATCATGGAGCAGTCCGTTTTCATATGACAAACCTGAATAAGTGCGAGTGAAAGTTCGTAAGTTAAATATTTTTTGTAACTTTGATTTGCAGACTTCTCAAGTTTTCTACAATTTTTTATAATATATGCTATATGGTTAAATGTTTATTATTATCTTAAATTGTTAAAAATCAAAATCGTAGAATTATAAAACAAAAAGAAAATCAAATAAAGAAATAAATAAAATCACTTAATAAAAATAAGTACAAGTTACAAAATATATAATGAATTTAATATCTATTAATTTATAATAATTTATATATTTCTATATATAAATTATTCAATTACATAATGTATCTATGTAATAACGAACTTTTAATTGGAATTATATTCTTCTCCATGTATAAGACTATTAACGTAACATCAATCGACATTCCAGGGTGTAATACGTGAACATCAGACAGTGAGCTATAGTGACGTGAAAGTGGTCGACTAAAAGAGGCGGAATGCAGAGTGTTAGGCGCTACGGTGTATACACTGATCCATGGTACCAGGTAATTGGAGTACCATGTTTATATGTGTTTGTATATACATGAACCATACTTTTAAAATACTATAATTATCAACTCATTAAACATCAGTTTTATCTAATATTTTTAAATATTCGTTTTTTACTTAAAATTTATTTTATTATAACAATATTCAATCCTTTAAATTACAATATTTCATAACTATAAATATTGAATTTTTAATAAAATCATTATTATAAAATTAATATGTTGCACTTTAATATCATTTTGAATTATAAAATAACCAATTATATTATAAAATTTAAAGAATGTAAGAATATGAAAATAATCATCATAATCATCATAAAATATCAATATAAAAAATATTAAATAATGACAAAATTGTTTTTCAAAAAATTATACAATAAAGCATAATTATTGTAAAAATTTTGCATTATTTTATATTTTCATCGGTTTATAAAGAATGTCCTAAATAACGTAATATTTATTTCATGTTGTGTCCAATTTCTTACGTGAACATGACAAATGTGAAAGCGACCTTGAAACTTTGGAACATCCTTCGCATCAATACTAATGTCCAATAAGTATCTATTCAAAAAGATTTCTCTCTAATAAATCAGATTATATAGTTAGAATTTCGAATTTAAACAAATTTAAATTATAATGTTAATTTAATCAATTATATAGTATTTGTTAAATTATAATTTTTTTTCTATAAATATATAACTAATGATAAATTACAAAATAGTAATTTTATAAATTTAAACAGAGTTTAATAAATCAGTTTTATAAAATTTAATAAATATATTCTTTATATTGATGCTTAAATAATAATTATATTGAAAATAATATTTATATTATATTTTACAGTGATAATATTAAGAAGATATAAAAAAATGTTGAAATATTAATGAAAATGAAGGAATTTAAGAATGAAAGCAAACAACTATTTGTTCGAAGTCAATTATTCTAGACGAGCATGCAGCGATGGTTATTGGATGAACCTGCATCTGATTTATGCAGTAGCGATTATCAATCACAAATTAAGGTATAAATATGTACATTATTTATATAATATATTCAAAAAATTATCAAAATTATTCTTTAATAATAAATAAATTTTAAGAGATATATTATATATATAAAATTTTTTAAATATAAAAAAAATTAATTTAAAAATTCAATTGATAGCATTGTTTATTCGTTTATCTTTTCATTTCGTCTAACATAAATTTAAAATTGTTTATAATTAAATAAGTTTGAACCGATATTTTTATATACTAAGTTTTATATTTGTTTTGGTTTTTACAAAAAGTGTTCTATAAATATATTAACAATCTTTATATAATTAATACACTATTAATATTCTATATAAATTGATGACATTGTTAAAAATACAAAGTTACATAATAAAGTTACATAACAAAGTTTTTTAAAATTTCATGCATTAAAAATTTTACATAGGAAATATTATTGAATCGTAACAGGGAATGCTGGAACGCGGGAAATTTTATTCTAGTGCGGCAATCGCAACGGCCTTGGCAGTTTCAGATGAGAACCAAATTAATTCTGACAGTGAAATTACGAAGTTGTCTTTACATCCATCGAATGAAAGATTTGCTTGCAATAATCTGTACGCTATACCACGAGCTGATTTACACGAGATAGAATGGTAAATTAAATTTCTTCGTTTATTATTGCAATATATAAATTGTTATTCAAAATATAAATTATAAATAATCTTTGAAATTATATGATAAATAAATATTAAAATAAAGTAGAAGAAATTGTCTTTAGGATAGAAGCTGACTCGTTAGATGCTTATGTTTCAAGATTTGTAGCTGGTTTGTCAACTATAACACGAAATAATCTAAGAAAATGTTGCCGAACTTCGACCAGTTATTCCAATCATTCTCTACCATTGTCAGCTGGTTTATATTCTTGTTATACATCAATTTCCAATCAAAATTTTTTTCGAGGTATAACAATGAAAAACCAATCCAATGGAGGACTTGCTATAATTCATGAAAGTGAGGCAATTCCACGTCCTATTTGGCCGACCACATTTTTTAATTCGCGCGATCTTTATCAAAATAACGAAAATCCTGAATATGATAGTAAGTAATGATATTTTTGTATGAAGAATACGTTCTTTTTTATATTAAAAATATTAAAATGTTCATATTGTGATTTATAATTTATAATAGCTTCATACACATATTGCGGATGTTATTGCGCATATAGCTATTCATATTGCGATTGGCATTATGAAAAATCTATAAATATGTCAGCACATGAAGTTCTTCTTGAATTATCTCAAACACTGAATTCCATGATAGAAGGCAAAAATATTATGACACCAGAAGAAATATTACAAAATATTTCATATCAGATTGCGCAAAGAATTGATTTTAAAGGGGAGTTTTACGAATATATTTATCATAATTCTTCATTTTTATCGAGCAAACGATCATTTTTAAATGATACCAATCCGTATGAGTTAAGTTGTAATAAAAATTCATCATCGAAAATCAATCCAGTAAATTCAAAACTTTATAATAATGCACGAAATTCTCATCTATACAATCCTTGGTATACTTGTTTATGTACTTGTGAACGTACTCGTAGATTTCTATCTTCAAAAAATGACCAAGAAAATACAATGAATGATGAATTGAAGAGAAAAGAAAGTCCGCCTCTTATGCTTTTAATGGATAATCAATACCAAAAAATAAAATCAGAATTATTACAAAACAATATGGATAATTCTAAATCGTATGGTTGCAAATGCTTAAATCATTCAATTTTTCATAATAAAAAAATAAAAAATGTATATATGAATCGTTATATTAAAAATGATATAAAAGAAACGATTAATATCAATGAAGAAACTAAACAGGATCGGAATAAAATTATTTCTAATGATCCAGAATATTCTAAGGTAAATCTATATATTTTTAAACTAATTAATTAATTCAGATAGATTAATAAAATTAATTCAGATAGATTTTTATAATTTTATTAATAATGAACATATGATTTTATTAATGAATGAACATATCTTTATATGAGACAAAAGCATTTATTTTGAATAAATAATTAAATGAATATAATATACGTTTTTCTTGTATATAATAACAGTGCAAATAACAATATTCACAATATCAATGTAACAAACGTATCAAGACTAATGTTTCAGCAGTTGGAGTGCAGTAATGGTGATTCATTCAACAAAGATAGAATCTTCTCATCCAATAAAAATAATTGGAATTATCGTATGCAAGGATTCGCTGAAAATTTAGATTTCACGCTTGATGTTTCACGAGCAGAACGTTTGGGTCATGTAATTGCAAAAGCAAAACGGAAACGACAATGGTGCAGAGTTTTAACTGCCTTCTTTGGACTAGTCTTTTTTGTTTTAAGTGTTGTCATTGTCTCCTTATCCGTAACGAAAGGTCGTAAAGTATTTGGAAGTATGTAATGTTATTTACAAATGATAAAAACTTAATCGAAATACTCTAACTATTATAATAGTAAATATATTGACTGATACTTGCTTTATTTCTAGTACCTTACCCAAGTACTTTACGTATTTTTAGTACCTTATATTACTAAGTTAAATTAACAGGATTTAAATCCTGTTGACAATATATGGCTGTGACCATGTTCTCACATATAAATATTAATATGCAATATATATAAAAAGTAAATAAAATAATAAATAAATAATAATGAATAAAAAATAAATATTGAGCGATAATTAAGATGACAATTAATGACAATAAACAATTAAAATGAAAATTATTTATAAATATTCAAGTTATATGATAATAAATTTAAATAAATAAATTAAAAATGTAATTTCTATATTAATGTTATTGTTCTCTTAGTATAATTATTTACATTTTTATAATTCATTTTTATTAAATTAATAATATATTTTTATTAAATTAATAATATTTAATTAATAATTGAAAATACTTATCTAAAAAAATATATATTTTAATGAAAAAAATTTTTGTTCACAATTATTTAAATTATCTATTAAAATCAATAATTGCGCATGCTTTTACGAATGAGTGTACAGTACAAGTAATGTCAAATATAACTTGATGATCTATTATTATTATAAAAAACAATATATGCAAAATTGAAGTCTTAATAAAAGTATTAAGACTTAATAAAGTGTTAATAATTCTTTTATATTTAAAATAGTAAAATAAATTATATAATTAAAAAATTAAATATTTAATACTTAACATAAAGGTTATATTGATTTATATATTTTCATTATCTCAGTTATTTACTTAATCGTTTTGTCAATAATAAAAATTTTATTTGTCTGATTTAAGGTATGAATTCAATTTTTATCTATATCAATTATTGTCAAAATGAAAAAATGAAATATTTATCGAATTACTTATTAGTTATAATATTATCTATAACCTATATTATTTCAGATTTTAAATAAAAAATGGTATGTGTACCATGTGTAGCTATACCAATATTTCTCATTATATGGAGATTTTTGATACAACCATTATTTATAAAATGGTGGCAGTTTAGAAACAAACAAAAAGAATTAATAAATAATGAACAACAATTGGTGAAAGAATGTAAAAATGGAGTTTGTACGTTATCATGGTCAAAAAAAGAAAATAAAAAATTTGATTAAAAAGCTTTAAAATTCATAAACACTATTTTTATTTAATAGTTTATTACATAATCAATTAAATTTTATATTTCAGTTTACAATTTTTTAAATTAATATTCTATTTCATGCAAATTGTTTATTATTAATATATGTCAATGATATGTTATGTATATTATCTACAATAAATATAAAACATATTTAAATTCATACATTACTTCATATTTTAATATAATTATTTACTATCTTACATCGTACTTTGAATAAAATTGAACTCTTTTTAAGTAATAAAAAAGGATATTACGTTTATTAGTTTAAAATACATTATATGTCACTTAACAAACACTTAAATATCAATAAAAAGTTTATTCAGAAGTTTTAATGTACATTCCTAAGTTCCACTTCAAACATTAATGTACTATTACCAGGAATAACAGGTGGTGAACCTTTTGCACCATATCTATAACAAATATATTGTTTGTAAGAAATAATAATATATCTAAAACAAAAAAATATATTTAGTTTATAAATAGTAATAAATAACACATACGCCATAGCTGGAGGTATTGTAATACGACGTTTTCCTCCAACTTTCATTCCTGCAATACCAATATCCCATCCTTTAATTACTTCACCTTTTCCAAGTCTAAATTTGAAACCATCTCCATGTGTTGTTGCATCAAACTTTTTTCCATTTTTCAAACGACCCACATAATATACAGACACAAATTTTCCATTCTTAGCAAAAGAGCCATTACCTATTTTTAATTCTTCTATTTGCACTCCACCTTCTACTACTCTTTTTTTTTGATCAGTTTGAACATTCATTTCACTTTGTTGTTGTTCTCCTTTATTTTTTTCTTGTTTTATTTCTTTCCCATTTATTATTATTTTATCTTCTCTTTTTTTTTGTTGCTGTTGTTTATTTTTTTTATCTTTTTGTTGAATTTTTACCTTTTTTTCTTCTTCATTTTGTTCATTTTTTTCTTCATCTTCTTCATCTTCTTCAGTTTCTTCTTCATTTAATAATGAATCTTCATCATCTTCAGAATCATCAGAGTCATTTTCTTCATTTACTCCATCTAATTCTATATCTTCATCAGAAGATTCAGCTTCAATTTCTTGTTTAAGACGTTTAACATTTTTCTCATTTTTTAAAGAATCTGTAGCTTTTCTCTTAGATTGTTTGTCAAGTAATTGTGGTACCTGCTCATCTTCTTCTTCTTCTTCTATTTCATCTAAATCCAAATCGTCATCAGGTATTAAATAACCAGTTAAATGAACCTGACCATGGCCATGACATATGAATGCTATCGTAGTTCCTTCTTGAAAATTTAAATCAAGTGGTACCTGCCATGTTGAGCTCTTTTTTAAATTGCATAATAAATAACTACTATTTTCATAATATAACATTACTTGTACCACATTGTCATCTATAATCAATAAAATTTGAAATGATTTAGATAGAGATAGAAAAATAATTCAATATTTTAAATTAACATATTTTAAATAATAGAATAATTTATTTTCTAAATTTTTATAAATAAAATTTGTATACAACGTAATTTTACCGGCTGTTGAAAGATTTAAACTGGCCATTGATACATGGAATGATTTTTCAACGGTCTGCGTATACCGCTTATTTGGTTCTAATATTAAACCTAAAAAAAAAGAATAGAAAATTATTATTATTATATAATTTTATAAATTATTACATATATACTATTTTTAATGAAATTTTTTGTTTGCAATACAGTAGTAGTTTTTCGAAACCACATGGCGACGCCATTTTAAAACAGTCCATACCGGCAAATTTTGGATTTCGTCACAGATATTTTGACTTTAATGATTATGCTTACCCCAAAACATTTTGTGTGTAATTATATAACTTTTACAGTAGAGAAATGAAATATTAATAATTAAACTTTATATGCAAATAAATTGATAATATACATATATATATAATATATATATATATATATACACACACACACACTGAGTTTGTACGACCAATTACATATATCAGGTACTTCTATGACCTCGCGCCAAGTAATGAACAACTTAGACTTCATACAGCGCCGTTACCTAAGTCAGTTTATGTCATGAACTAAATTTTTTATAGATTATGTTTTAGTAACAGTGATAAAAATTTAATAAATTTTAATAAATAAAATTTAAAATTTAATAAATTATTTTTCTATTTTTAATAATTAAAATTAAATATTAATAAATAATATTTTTTATCAATAAAGTTATATAGATTTAAAATTTATTATTAAAGTGACCATTTTTCGAAATTTTCAAAATTTTATTTTATTTGTAATTTTTTTATAAATATTTTTTATAAATATTTATAAATATTTCTGGACATTTATTTGATATGAATTAAATTATTTTGTTTTGATTTGGAATTATATAAAATATCATATATATTTCTGATTAATAATAATTTTTTTTTTACTAAATTATTTTTTTGTTTTTTTATTTTTATAATTCAAAAAATTAATTAATAGCTTTTTAAAATGAAATTGATACTTGTTTAATTAGTACTTTAATTTATATAATTTAATTTATATATATGTAATTGTATAAAAAAATTTAAAAAAATTTTCTTCTCTTTTCACTATGATTAAGAAAGATTGTAAATCTAATAATTATATATGTGAGTACTTCATTTAAGGTATGTTTTCATGTAATGGTAAATTGACTTTTATGATATTATACTATATATGATTAAATATTATATATTATATAATATATACTATATATACTATATAGACATGATCTGTAAAAATCCTCAAGTCAAATTGGAACAAAGATAATTAGAAAAATGTGATATTATTTATAAGAAATATATAATTTAAAATGAATAGTGCATTAAATATATACTATAATAGCAATATAGAATGAGTTACATATTTGATTATGAATAATTTTTAAATATTAATAGCGTATATATTATATATTATAAAGAAAATAATTTATTAATAGAATAAGAATAAATTTATAAAAATTATTTTATTTTATAATTAATAATTATGAATAAATAATTTTTTTTTATTATTACTATTTTTTTTTTAAATTAAAATAAGTTATAAGAAATAATTAGCAACATTTCAATTAAAATTTAATTTTTTTGAAATTATAATTTTCAATATATACATCATAATAAGCATTATTTAATGTTAAATATTATAATATAAATAATTATAAATTTAATAAAATTATGAGAGTAAAATAACAATTAACATATAATAAAGTGAAATATATTTTATTATTGATTATTTAATAATGATTAAATTGCATTTTATAATATATTATATAGTATATATAATAGACATTAAATAAATATTATTGCTTCCATTATTATTTTATTATGTAAAATTATCATTTTATCTTTGTTTTAATTTTTATTATTAGTATTTAGAATTATCTAAAACCATGAATATAAATATATATTATTTAAGAAATCATGATTTTAATAAAATTAAATGTTGCATTCGTAATATTGAATTTGTATTGTGACTTATAATGCTACACAATAATAGTATCACATAATGAAAATCATAATTTTGTTATCATGAGAATATACCTTTAATATTATCTAATATACCAATCTTAATATATTTTTTCAGTCGATAACTGAAGTTGTTATTATGATTTAATTTGTTTAATTCTAGTAACTAGATTTATTTCGTCAAATGATTTTCAATCATATGGTATAATTTAAAAAAATCAAATATAATATTTATATGACGATATATATACGATATATATACTGATGATATAATATAATAATTTATTATTAATAGAAATAGAATAGTTTGTATAGAATTTTTATTTAAAAAATTTTGATAGTGTTTTGAAGATTTCGTACAAAATGATGATGGATTATTTCGTTACAAATAATTCTTTAGCTCCTGCACCTATGGGAATTCAAAGTACAGCAGGTGCCGTACCTGTAAAAAATGATAAAGGTTAATAATTAGATATAATTATAGTATAGATTTAATAATATAATCTAAACCTAATTAAAAATTATCATTATATAAAGTATAGATTTGCAATTAAAATTTACTATTAAATTTAACTTTTTAATTTACTATTAAATTAAATATCATAAGTATTATGATATTTTTAAAATTTAAAATTTATTTAAATCTATAGGTGAACTCTCTATGAAAAAAGTAAAAGTACATCGTTATGTTTCTGGTAAACGACCTGATTATGCACCAGTTGCTAGTTCGGAAGAGGAATCTGAAGAAGAAGATTTTTTGGAAAGACGTGTACATAAAAATTATGAAGAAAATGAAATTTCTACAGATACTCCTACACATTCACAAATTAAAATATGTGATGAAGATGATCCACGTATAAGAAGATTAACACGTTTAGAAAAACAAAAAGAATCAAATACAGAAATTCGTGCAGAAAGGCATAGACATATACATGAACCAGAATTAATTGAAGTTGAACCTGAAAGAACACGAGAAAGAATTAAATTAGAAAGTTCAGATTCTTCAGAAGATGAAGAATTGTCAGATTCTGAAATTGAAAAAAGACGAGAAGCATTAAAACAAAGAGTTTTATCTAAAAAAGAAAATGAAGAAGAATTAATTCATGGAGAAGAAGATGAAAGATCAGGTGATACTTCAGAAGAAAGCTCAGAATATGAAGAATATACTGATTCAGAAGAAGAAACTGGACCAAGATTAAAACCAGTTTTTGTACGTAAAAAAGATAGAATTACAGTAATGGAAAAAGAAAAAGAAGCAATGAAACAAAAACAAGCAGAAATTGAAGCTAAAAAAATGGCTGAAGAACGAAAACGACAAACATTACGAGTATATAATTTGTAATTATATAAATAAATTAGTAAAAATTATTATATAGATTTTTTCTAATATTATTTATTACATAGATGGTAGAAGAAGCAATAAGAAAAGAAGCACAAGTTAATAAAAATACAAATGACAATGAAGGAAAACTTGAAGATGTTTGTACAGATGATGAAAATGATGAAATTGAATATGAAGCTTGGAAA